CAGAAACTCCCCCGTGCAAGTCACTGGTCTTAGCGCCCCAGTGCAATGCGGTGAAGGTCGACGCGAGGGGCGTAGGAGCAACGGTACACCGTAGCTACATCACAGAGGCACGTATCCAGTGATTTCGTCGGGAATAAAAGACCCCAATTCTGCCTTCTCGCGATAATCGCCACCTCACCATTTTGCGAATTTTTCTCTACATTTTTAGCTCCTTTTAACTCCTTGGGTATCCGCAGTAAACTGGCAGATGCAGATAAAATCTAATCAGATTTGGCACACTGTGTATCGGACGCGGACATCCGTGGGTCCGGATCCACATTTTTGCCGAGGCGGGACATAAGTGCGCACGATTACACAGTGTAGGGAGAACGAGCGAGTGATACTATGAACTTCATTGTGGAAAGTATTGGGGGAACCAACTACTCCCCTCAATAAAAGGTGCCAATCGGGGAGGACATTTTCCTTCGCGTCTAGAAAGATTTGATTCCCACCGAAGATTGCTTTAGAACATTCTATCTTGCCAAAAATGCTGTCCCTAGAAAAAGGGAAGAATGCAGGAGTAACTTGTCCTGGGAAAGCGTGTTCTTGCTTGGTAGGGAAAAAGCAGAAAACATTCCTTGGACAAAGGAAACCCAAAACGCACAAGGCACGAGAAAAAGATGCCTAGAAATGGCTTCTTTGCCTACGAATAGATCGAGGAGACTGAATTCAATTCTCTGGAGTGGTGGAGTTCCCGCACCTCGATCTTGTAGCGGAGTTTGTGTGTGCCATCCCTGCATCAAGTGCATCAAATGGAAAGGGACCCTCATTAGCGGGGATTAATTTGAAAGAGGCAAACCAGCCTGAATCCGTCCATGTTTACAATACTGTGTCTTCCAACAGCAACTTCGACAAGTAAAACGTTGTGCATGTGTGGGTTTCTTTTTTTTTTTTTTTTTTTGACAGTTAGCATAGAGTTGTTTTTAAGTGTATATAGTTCCTACCATGCAGTTGAGGGTCTGTGTCTAAAACTAAAACCAATAGGTGTTGCCATTATTGAATATTGCAATAGTTTCCCAGTGGTGTACTCGCACCTTACCAACATGAGTACTTTTCTGTGGTGACTAAGTGCCTTTCTTCTCCCACTTTCTTATTTTTTGGCCTTAATAAAATGACACAATGTTATTAGTTTGTCGTTCGTTCATCTTAATGTTTGTAGAATCTGTGTCTGCTTGAAGTGGGTTTTACGAAGTGAAATGAAATATAAATATTAAAAGTTTCCACTTTTTGAGAGCGTCTTTGGGACAGACTGTCAAGTGTCAGGGAATCCCAAGACAATCTCATAACTGCAATCATCTTTCCAGCAAAGCGAAGTGTCTCTGGACGGATGGTTGCTTATTTTATAAATACTGTAAAATGACATTCACCGTATTCTGACACAAAGGGTTTGTTGTGCAAAGGCAAGCAGACGGCTTATAGGATACCATCCCAATGCTTTTTAAAATTTTGTTTGCGCTTGATTTCATTTTGTAAAATGGATGCGTGAATTGATCGGTGAGATGTGAGTTTGAATTTTACGGATGCGGTTCAGATGCGGATGCAAAGTCTGCGGGTGGGGATTGGATGCGGGTAATCAAACTGTTATCCGTGCAGGGCTCTACTTATCACCACTGAATACACTGTGCGAAGGACACGTGGAAACCTGACATGAAAAGCATGTCATGAACACAGGTACTGCAAATCAGACGCAGCAGATATGCATTTTACGGTGCAATAAACATGCGGGGACAACTTATATGTCGTAGGAACCCATATTGCATGCGCTAATTGCTAACAAAAAACGAGGGAACTCGCTACGAACCTGCATGTCGCAGGAACAAATTTCGCAGATTGCGGATGCAGCAAACTCGCATTTCACGCTTCAATAAACATGTGGAATCAACTCGCGTATCACATAAGTCAATATCGCGCATCCAGATTGCACACAAAAACACGTGAACCCGCCACGAACCTCCTTATCCCACGTACCGGTGCAACAGATCGCACGGTTGATGCGATTCCCATCGGGCATCGCGTGATGTCCGACAGGAACAGGGGGTGGGCAATGTTTCGCAAGTTTTATGTTTACAGATGATCAGCCAGAAAAACGTGATGGGATCTCTCGGGGGAGGGCGGCCCTTTTGAGGTTTTACGGTATAGGCCATTATCGGTTAAGAAAATTGTTGTGCATGCTTTGGGTTACAGTACTTTCATATGGTGTAAGTGTTAATTGTCATTGTGCTCTACAAGAACTCAATTTGATGTCTTCTGTTAACAAACATTTCCTACAATTTATGTCTGTCATATTTTGTAGAAATTTGTAAATTCTGGCAATATTATGCCACATTTCCTACAATTTATGCGCAATACACATATATGCCCAATTTTAATTTTGAAACAGCTGTACATAGGTCTTTCTGGTCTTACCCCTTAAAGACCCCCTATGTTCTTGCACGTGATCTAAGGCCTAAACATTGCTACTAAGTACTGCGGTGATCCACAAGATATGGAAAAAAGAATAAGTAAATATTATGTCCCAGCATTTTTTAACAAACCTGACCCTGGTGTTCAGAATGCCAATTTCAAATACAAACAGAAATGGGCTTTGTGAAACATTACTTCATAATTGAAAACATTTTAATTAGGTTGTACTAAGAATTCTTATTCACAAATCGTTTTTATTCATTCTTTATTCATGAAAAACCCGCAGCAGGGGGGCACAAAGCAATAAAAAAAAAAAGATCCACAGTCTCACCGCATACCTTTTCCACCGGTAATGAACTCCATTGTGCGATGGTTCAAGCAAAAAAAGTGTTTCATAATGTTTGTCCTGGAGAAATACGGCTGAACCTTATAACAATGGTATGTACAGCCGATTGGTAAGATGGTGAATGCAGAAACTTTGCAGCACAAATTCCAATTTGGTTGCAATAAATCGAGTGAAACAATTTGAGATGCAGCTTTTTACGACGTTCATTTAAATGCACCCATCCCAGTTGCTTTTTCATTTCAGTTGTGCTACTGAAACGATCATATCTTCCCAGGACAAATCGAGCAGCAATAAATTGAATATGTTCTATAGCACTGATATGAACCTGGTAAGACGGATCCCACGCATGACAAGCATATTCTAACATACGCTTTATACGCTGCTTCCTTAAATTAAGCTCTTTGCTTACATGTTTAAGGTTGTGCTGTATATTTATAAGATGGTTCTATTCTAATATTTTCATTGTTAATGTAGTACTGATGAGTCAATTTATTATGTCTTGTGAAGCACACATGAACACACTTGCTAGCATTCTATGACATCTTATTGTTACTACACCATGATTCAATTCTTTTAAGATCTCTCACAAGCTGTGTGAAGTCTGTTTCACAGAGATTATGAGAGACTATGAATCTGTTTCGTTCTGCTAATGGCCAGGCACTGCCACGCAAGCCCAATAAGGCCTTGACAGGTGTGATTTTCTATTAGTTTATTTTGACACGCAATAAAATATCATTATTAAAGTTGCGTTACAGATACCACATTGATAAACTTTGGCACTTAAAGGACACCTGCAAAGGAAAAATAAATTATTTTTAAATAGCCTAGATGGAAAAAGAATGTTATAAAAAGAATTTACAACGAAGAAAAAATATTTTTAGATGTATATTTACAGCGTGAAACGAATTTGTAGTTGGCGCCCATGGGAGCCGCCACGAGTCACGTGGTGCACCTGTGCGCCGCCACACAGTGAGCGTGGTGTGCTGCTGTTTTAACGCGTTTCTCTACGCAGCCGCGCAAGTTCGTCTGCTCCAAGGCGCCACCGCCGCCATGCAAGTTTGTCTGCTCCGGTCTATTACGTCTGCTTGCACTTTTTCAGGAGCTTCCTTTGGGCTCTAAAAGTTACTTACTAATCTTCATTTTTTGTTGCACTTGAAACAAAGATGAATAAGCAACTTTTAGAGACCATAGGAAGCTTCTAAAAAAGCGCAAGTACCATGTGACAAATAGTGGCCACTTTTCCATGGCTCCCCACGGCGCCAAATACAAACTCGTATAGTGTCATATATATAGCTTTAAAAATTATTATTTTTCATTGTAAATTTGTTTTATGACCTCCTTTTCCCAACCAGGCTGTGTAAAAAAATGTATTTTTTCTTTGCACATGTCCTTTAAAAATGCACTGAAGTGGTTTCCGAGATCGCCATTTTTTAGAGGGAATGCCATCTACGCAGTGAAAGCATACCAAAAATCTATAAACTACAGTCATGCGGGGCCTATTTCACGTTAAAAAAATGTTCAAAGGTTGCGGACACGCCCTTTTTCAGGGCGAATTCCCCGAGTGAAGCGGTCGACAAAGGTGCACGTGTGCGGACGGATCAGCGGAGTGATTCCGGATCCCAAGTAGTCCCAAGCTGCCACTGCCCCCAACAAACTATGTTTCAGCAGCTGTTTACACGTGCACGTGATGATTTGCCATCTGACGCTGTTAGAATTAGAAATCCTTCGGCGCACAAGCTAAGTTCCAGGAAATAGACACTCCATGTGACACATGCAAACGCGAGAGGGAAACTACAGAACATCTTTTCTTTTAGGGGGCACAGTGCTTTGTCCCACCCTCTCGAGGTGGGGGATGAACACGGATTTTGGAGGGGGCACTGGGATTCGCACACATGGATGGATGAATGGATAGGGAAAGAATTGCGTTAACTAAGAGGAGATTGGAAGATTGGAGGAAAAGATCTAGGGAAAAGTAAAAAAAAAGACAGAAAAAAATCAGCCATGGAATAACTTTAAAGGGGGGGGGGGGTGCATTAGAAACAAACAAAATGTATACAAATTTTAAAAAAGGGATGACGAAATGTCAGACCAGGTGGCCAAGCTGCCACCCGTTACAAAGGGTATAGCCATTACCATCCATCCATTCATCCGCATATAGGGATACTGGAACCTATATATAGCAGGCCAACCGGAGTAGACAGTGTGTACTCACCCGGGGGATCTGCCTGCCCGACTTCTTCATCTCTTCCCGGTACCACTGGGTAAAAGTGATGTAGGCCGTCGTGGCCCGCTTGGGCGCCGGCACACCGTCCTTGTTCACCTTGGGTTTCTTGTGCTTGAGCTTGCCACCGGCCCCGGCCGCCAGGTGGCCCATGTAGCCCACGTGGTGGTGGTGCTGGTGCTGGTGCAGCCCCTGGTGGGCCGCCGGGGCGTGCTGGTGCTGCAGGTGGTGGTGGTGATGGTGGTGGTGCACCCCAGAGCCCGAGCCCGACCCCGAGGAGGTCGAGTTGCCCGCCGCCAGCGAGGACATTTGCAGGCCCGCCGCCGCCGCCATGTTGGCCGCCATGTTGGCCGCCGACCCCATCGACAGGTTCAACCCAGTGGGCAGCATGGGAAGCTGCGCCATGGCCGGGTGCAGCTGGCCCCCGCCGGCCGCAGACACCACGGCCGCGTGCTGGGCCATGGCGTGGTGGTAGTCGTAGTCCGCTGCAGGGATCAACTCTTTGCAACCTCCATTCATAAAATGCCTGCCCTCGGTTCTTTCTTCGAGAACCCTTTGAAAAGCCACCCAATCTATCTTTGCAATGCTATTTAAAGATGCTGTCCGAATAGTAAGAGAGAATGGCGATTGCCAGACCAGGGTTGCAGCAACACGCCAGTAAAAAACTGCTACCAATGAGGCCCATTGGATCCTCGACACTGAGGCATTCTAAGCTTAATCTGTTGTCCACCCGACCACATAATGCAATTTTGCGTGACACACTGCCAGCCTCAAGTCGGTAAACAACCTGCAGAGATTTCCAGGGTTGCAAACACTGCCCCATTCTTTCAAAGTGCAAAGTGCACGGCCATATCAACTTGCAGGGCAACAGTGGGGAATGACTCAGCAAACTGGAGCATGCTGCCAAGTTAAAAGGAAAGCCAACAAAGAACGGCAGAAAATAACCTATTTCCAACTGGCGGCAGTTTTACTGACAATAAATTCAAACGCTACCAGTTTTACGCTATAACTTGGCAGACGGTGAAATCTAGGGTCCCAGCAAGCAAACCGGAACGTCACTTTGCTTCCTGGGACAATGCATACTGAGTGTAGGGATGGCCGAAGGGGCTTAGCCGAAAGAGCTCGGGGAATTGGCGGCGCAGTCACCCGAAGCATCCTTCGGAGGCGCCCGATGTTCTCATGTTTTCCCTTTGGCGGCAAGCGGCGGCCAGCTCCCGAAAGTGGAAGCAGATTTCCCCGCGTGGGAAGTAAACGAAACCTTCCAGGCGGGAGTGGGTGGTCGCCCTTGCCGCTGTGGTAATTGGGGAAGCGACCTTGTCAGGGCCATGTCGGCGACTTCGGGGGAGAGAGGGAGGCCCGGCCTCCCTCCGGTATGTCGGTGCGCCTTTTCGGGAAAGTTGAGTCTGAATGAGCCCGTGCGCGGAGCAAGACGTTATTCTCCCGCGGTCCTGAGGGCTCCGCGTATTCTGTCTCGCGAGACAGAGACTTTGCCGTGCGCAACAAGGGACTTGGCGCCGAGGTGCTATTGTTGGCGTTGGGTTGCCGCGAGCGGCATCAGCAGCGCGACGTTTTTCTGTTTTGTCTTGTAAAAAGTTGTGCATAAGCTGTAAATATATATTTATTTACTCAACCACCGAATCGTGAGCGTCACTGAAGCCACCGGAAAGAAGCCACCCTCCAGCCAGTGCAGCACCCCACGATAGACAAGAAACATTACTCTGAGAGTGGCAGTGCACTCGGCGCAACTTGTCTCGCTGAGCACCACTCCTGCTCTAAAAGGGCCCGCAGCATCAAAAAATCTCCCACAGTCATCTGCTCTGCTCCGTTGCCACGTTTGAGCATTCACTCTTTGCAAAGTCACCCTCAGTGCTCGAGTCCTCCTTCCATTTTGAATAAATCGCGATTGTCAGTGGGCGCGAGTTCTGACTGAGTAAAAAATGGTGATTGTGAGTTTGAGTGAGGATAGCTTAAAAGGCCAACCTTTATAGCACACAACCAATGAAACAGTGGTACCAAGCCACTTTCAGGGAATAATTTCGAGCCTAAATTGCTGGCCATGGCCGAGACAACTCTCAACCGATTTACAGGGAGGATTACCATTGTCTATAGCCGTGCCCGATGACGCTAGTTTTCAGAAAAATAATTTAAAAAACTAATGCATGAATGGGATGAAGCAGCTTGATTAGCAATGTGCTGAATTGGGAATTTACTACTCACTGTTTTGTTTTCGTGGACACTCAGATTTCCGTGAACTTGACAGACTAAAAGAGCCTTGTATAATGATTCAGAGAATCCATAGATCTCATCTCAGTAGTCACCTGACCAGTGGACAGTGGGCGCTGACACACGCAGCATCATAAGGTGGCTTCAATTTGGTTGGTTTCGGTTTCAGCGAGCTCGTGGCTGTCTTGGTGTGCTATGTCGCTTTCATTTAGTTTTGTGATATAAATGTATCCCTCGTGGTTCAGAACCAATCATACAGTGGTAATGAGCTGCCTTAAGAACTGCGACGTAATTACCACCCCAAATAGTGGACGTTTTTACAAACACCCTCATCTGATCACATTCTTCATTCAGCCAGGTTCAGCAGTGAAACGAGTGAAAGGATGGCCGGGGAGGATTACCGATGTCTACGGCCAGACTGGATGTACCTGCCGATACTAGCTTCCATAAAAATAAATGAATGAAGAGACTAATGCATGGAGGCACAGTGAAAAAGCAGGTCAATATTCTGACTAACAATGTGCTGAATCACAAATAACAACTGAACTCGAAAGTTTAGTGCTCACTGTTCGGTTTTCGAAGAAACCAATATTTTGTGGAAAATGACGACCTGGAAGCCACCCGTAATGACGCATAAAACGACCCCCCCCCTTTCCCCCCCCGTAATGATACAAGCTGTGCTTCTTCCGTTCTCACCCAGGAAGTCCAAGCCTTTGCGTCTAAATAAATTAACTGAATTTGATATTGTTATTGATACTGGATGACTCGAGACATGAGATTAAGCAGAATGTAAAGTTAAATCCATTAATAAACAGATCAAGCGAATGTTCATACCATGAAAATGTTTCCCCCACATAATTAAAGGCAACTTTTTTTAATTTGTTATGAAGGCCAAGGACAATGCTTTCAAGAAACATACAGAATGACTCCTTGTATTGACAGCCTTCTTTAAGATCATAAATATACCTTGCGCTTCTTGCACCATAATCACTTGGCCGCCATCACCCTAAGGGACACTGACAGGGTATCTATGCTCGCCAAGGTTTTTATTTGTACATGACATGAGAGCACAACCACCCAGAAAACAACGCGCAGCTCGAAATTCGTTTTACCACCTGAAAAAAATGGCACAAATGGTGCAACTGGACCACCGTTGCTCTTAGCGAAAAAACCCGAGTTATCGAAAGTGATTAACCTTTAAAACATCTCTAATGTGGCTCAATGCTAATTGCTGCGTCTCATAGATATTTGGTACACCGACAGTGGAAATAGTTAAATCGTGATACCAAACTAACTGCAGAAGTTGTGCACATCATGGTGTAATGCAATTAGGTAGCAGATATAAGCATGGGACCACACTTTACGGAGTAAGGCAAGAAAATGTGGTGAACCACGATGGAAAGCACATATACAATGCATTCGTCAAGGTGCGGAGGGGAGTTGAAGCAACCTAGGGATGGCCGCCTCACACGAGTCTAAGATGGCAGGGTTCATGCGACTGCAAACAAAAAGGTCTTTATTTCAGGCTCTGTCTGGCTAGAGTCCGGCCGGGATTTAGAAGTTGGGACCCGACAACCCGATGTTAGTAGAAAATCTAGAAATTCAATATTAGGAACTGTGGTGTGCTTTAAAATGTTAACAGGCAAAAAAAAAAAAAAAGTAGTGGAATACAAGTGCAAGTTACAAGGCAGAAAATTCAGACGAAGGTGGTGGTTTCATCCAGCGCGATGCTCCATCCTGAGCAGGGACTGGCATGCCCCAGCGTTCATTCATCCAGACAGAGGCCCGATGTGGGAATCGCGCTCCCAAACCCCCAGCGTAGTAGGCCATTTTAACAACGCGAGCCGATTAAAGCACCGGGAGGCTGCCGGGATGGAGCGGGAGAGGAGGGCTACACGGGGAGCTCCCGATCAATACCCCGAGGGGAAAGCGGCGCTGGAGAGGGCGTTCGAGAAGGCGCTAAAAAGAAGCGGACGCCGTTTTCCATTCGAAATAATACTCGGCCTCGCCTGGCGAGGAGGACTTTTGTCTCGCGCCAGGCCTCGCCGCCTGCGTCCGCACATGACGTAAGGCGCCGTCCAGCGTCTCCGACGTTTTCGCCGCCCGCACAAACCCTCACGCCCTTGATCCGAACCTCGGGGACTGACCCCGCTGCATTTCCGCACCTTCTTTACCCAGAGCTGCCAGAAGAACCAAAAAAAAGGAACAGCACAAAGGCAGTTTACGTGCTGTTAACAAATGAACGCCGCGCCGAACTCCAACAGTGCGATTAAGTGTCTTCCTTAGAAAAGCGAGACGTGCCACCGCTCGTGCCATCCCTTTTAAATTTGCTAAACCGGAGAAATGGATTCCAGAAGAGCATGCCCACGTGCGGTGAATTTACAATTCTTACACCTTCACCACACGAACATGCCGTATCGTGGTGAAAGAAAAGCAGGAGGCATGCGGTTTAAAGAAGCTCGTTTCAGGGAACGCCGTTTTACCAAACTCAGTTTATCGGGCCCCTTTATCCAGAAGTCCAGTTTGGAGAAAAGAGCGATGAGCCTCCTTTTAGCGAATTCGGCCACCGCGAAGCGGCGTGTATGGATGGGTCAGGTGAGTTAACATTTCTCTAATGAGCAACCGCAGAATGCCGCCGCAAAGCGACGTAAACGAGGGGTTTAACACGCGCGAAGCAGGGAAGCCTTTTTTAAACAGCGTTCTTTTTCAATAAACGAAGTTTCTCCAAATCGAGGCTCCGCTTTCTCGAAACCGAGCTTCGAAAAAACGTGCCCCTTCTGTAAAACGTGTTCTGACGAAATGGCGTTCCATCAACCAAGAGCATTATAGTGTTGTCTCGAAGGGACGGACGACCCTTCTTTGTGGACGCTGGAGTGTCCGAACTCGGCTGTGTCGCTGCTTTGCCCATCTCTGAACCGCACAAATACCCAAGGACACCATCCCCAACATCGCGGGTGCGTCGAGCAAGACATCGTGGGCAACCAAAACGCGGCTCGAGCAAATGTAAACGTGCAACGGCAGTATGGATCGCCTGCGCCTACGAGGCGCCGAGTGTCCAGTGCGAACACTTGCAAAGCGTAAGTCTGCGTGATGGTCATCGCCGCACCTAAGCACGTTTTTCACCGTTCCCGGACCTCCAAATGTAATCCCCCCCCCCCCCCCCCCCCCCCCCTTCCCCGTCTCCATTGTGCAAGCTACGGCTGCTCGCCTTCGGTGCCACTAGGCCTAATGTCCCGCAAAAGAAGACCCCAGCTACAAATCGGTGAACGGACGAGAACGAACGCTTCCGTTAGTCGACGCCGGCGCGACACCGCTTTCTATGCGGCCTGTACTGCCACGGAGCACGCCGTACCAATTTGTATCCGACGCGAAACAATCACGATCGTCCGTGACCTAATCAAAAATGCTCGCCGCTAGCACGCGCTTAAGCCTAACAAAAGGCTGCGGCCCTTGCGATTGGGTAAAGGCACGGCGTGCTCTTCGTGTCGGCGGTCTCGGTTGGTCGAAGAGCCTGTGCCCGTCCGTAAGACGCGATCCCATTGGTCGCCAGCTTGTGCGCCTACTCCTAGGCCTACTTCGTCCTTTTGTTTGGCGCTGGCAAACCCCCTTCTCGTGGAAAACGCGGTCTCGACGCGGCGTTCTAGCCGGTAAGCGAGCGTTTCGACTGCGCGGTCTGCTTCCCGCCGCTTCGGTGTGTGACTCAGAGAGCCTGCGATACTTCGACATGATCCGCATTTATCAAATAGCGCCGAAAGTGATAGCAGAGGCTCATAAAGAATGGCGGGAAAGGTTGGCAGCTTTTGAATTGCAGCACTCGCGGAGCGAAGAGAACTCTTCTCGGGCCTACAATAGCGCTCTCGAAGCAATCGGCCCTGTAAAACCGGCCGAAAAGAAGCGCTGAGTGGAAAAATCAAACTTGTACTCACCCATTTGTCTTTTGGATTGGTCTTTTTTACACAATAAATTCCCCTCGTATTTGGATCAAAGCGTCGCCGCACTACATCTAAGCTATTGTGTACACTCTCCGGCCCAGACGCTTGCGTCACTGTACCAGCGCAAGCAGCAGAGAGCGTACGGGGCGCTACCTAGCGGATGTTTCAACTCGAATGGAGTCAATTTCGATGTGGTCGTTGCCGACGGAGGGAAATTATCGCTAAAGTTTTTCAAGTGTTTCGGTGAGTGGACAGCAAATCCGTAAACAAAGTAGCGATTCGGCCGCGGTGTGCTCTAGAGCATCAGAAAAATACCATGTCGCGCAAGGCACTTGAGGTGACCAGTTCTAGCCTTGCCTTGCGCGTGCTTGTTTTGTCTGTCCGTCAGTGTTTCCGCTTTATGTATTTAAAAGCTTTAAAAGTCGGCAGTTATCGAGCTCATACGTACGAATGAACCTCCAAGAAATTTTGGGCGTTTTTGTACCTTGGAATAAAGCAATTTTCGCCGATGTAAATCGTAATGATTGATAATGCAATTAAATGCAAAGGTGCAGGACCAGGCGGATTTTTTTCGGTCGCGCACCAGTCACCCAGCTGTGTTTGGAGATCATGTGTTTGCCCTTTCTACCCCTTATCTCCTTTCTCCAGCGATTATTTCCGTGAATCGTTACTTGAGTCTAGAAAAGAAAGAGCGTCAGTAACGACCGAACTTTGTTGGCTCAGGAGAGCCGCGGCATCGCAGAAAGGCAACAGCCCGTACCATGGAGGCCCGCGATGGGCGCCTTGTGATGATGATTTTATGGTGATGGAATCGTAGGTGTGCGCAGGGTTCCGAATGATTGGGGGGGGGGGGGGGGGGGGGGGGGGGATCGGCGGCCGAGTGGGCTAAAGTGCACACCCGGCTTGACGCGCGTGGAGCGAAAGCTCGCGCCTCAGAACCGAGGGATCTGGGCTCGAGCCCCACCCCTACCCCTTTCGATCTAGATGAGCCTCGTACCGGCGTGCGGTCGTGTATCACTACTGCGTGATGCACGTTAAAGACCCCAGGCTAGCGGTTGTACTGCACTGGCTAAATTGCTCATCTACAGCGTGTGACTCGTCGCAACTTTAATGGCTCACCAACTACACGCTGTATAAATAACCCCATAACCCATCTTATACAATTTTGTGCGCAACAAAGACGAGGACAAAAGCAGAGAAGAGGACACAACAAGGCGCAACTTTCAACTGAATTTTATTGAAAACGTGTTCCGGTATATATATAGTCTCAACCATCGTCACAATGACAACAAAAAAGACAAAAGTAAAGGGAAAAAAAAAAAAAACACCATGACAGAGCATAACTGGGAAACAACACTATCTCGTTCTCAGGAAAAACAATTCCTTCTCCGATAATGCGATCGACGGCATAGCAACACGCGTCTCCTAAATAATCAATGTGCTCGGCTTCTATGATTTCGCGTGTTACCGCTGACTTGCATTTCCCAATTTTTACGCCGGTAAGACAAAAAGGAAAAGTTGTTGTGATTCCGTATGTACACCGAGTGTCGCACAATCTAAAGAAAATAGCAATGCGATCAAATGTAAAGGTAGTGTTTTCTGCGCCCAATAAGCTCATGGAACTGTGCAAACTATAAAAGCCTGGCGTGCGTGCCAAACACGGATGTGAAAAGAAGCACAGAACGAAATTTGTCGACTGTACAGATGGCGTGGTTTACCGCATTCCGTTGTCCTGTGGCAGCCACTACGTCGGGCAAACGGGGCACTGCCTAAATGATCGGCTTCGCGAGCACAATAACAACGTGCAAAAAAAGAACGGTGGCTTTCTTGACTTGCATTGCAGGACATGCGGTTGTACCCCACTGTTGGATGAATGCGTAAAAATTGGGAAATGCAAGTCAGCGGTAACACGCGAAATCATAGAAGCCGAGCACATTGATTATTTAGGAGACATGTGTGTTGCTATGCCGCCGATCACATTATCGGAGAAGGAATTGTTTTTCCTGAGAACGAGATAGTGTTGTTTCCCAGTTATGCTCTGTCATGGTGTTTTTTTTTCCTTTACTTTTGTCTTTTTTGTTGTCATTGTGACGATGGTTGAGACTATATATATACCGGAACACGTTTTCAATAAAATTCAGTTGAAAGTTGCGCCTTGTTGTGTCCTCTTCTCTGCTTTTGTCCTCGTCTTTGTTGCGCACAAGATTGTATAAGATGTCAAACCAACTCGCCCAAACAACCACTCTCCCATAACCCAATTTTTTTTCCGAATGATTGGAGAAAAACATAAGCCACAGCGGGGACAAAAGCCATGTTTGGGAATCTGTCCCCCTTGTCTGGGGGGGACGACTACGGTACTCTATTTAGCTCACAGTTGCACAATGTGCCAACAGGGCATAGTGACATCACCACAGCGAAAGAGTTTTGATTCAGATACTCTCAAAACACTACTAGTTCCGAAAAATTTACGGGTCTTCGTTAGTCCGCCCGGTATCATACCCTGTTACAATGTCTTTCAGTATAGCTATAGTTTTGCTACGGCAGCTGTCATGGAAACAACGAAGCTCTGTGGTGGATGTTGCAATGTCGTTGGCAAAGCCATATACGAAGCGCAGAATTGAAGACGAGAACCGACTTTTTCAAGAGCGGTGGGAACTTGCCATACCATCGTGGGACAAAGTGTTTCATTTGCCAGCAGGCCATTTCTGTGCCTATGGAGTATGACATCTGACGCACTTCAAGTCGTGCCATGGCAAGAAGTGTGGTGCGCTCACCGGAAAAATATGCGAGGACGGGGTTTTTCAACTTAGGACGTCACTGGCAAAGCAGCAAGACCTGTTTCAGGAAGCCAGCCGGACAAGCAACGAAACGGTAAGAGCGAGCTTTACTGTCTCTGAGCTTGTGGCCAAATCCTCAAAGAGTAAAGCTATACGCATTCCGGAGTGCACTTCAGACGGAAATGTCTATACGCACTCCGCTAAACTCGTATAAAACAAATGGTCACAACGAGTTTTCTGAGCGATTGTATAGCCTAGGGGTTAAGGTGTTCACTTTATACTCAAGTGGACGCAGGTTCGATCCCCGGTGAGCCTAATTTTTTTTCTTTTTTTCTCGGACATTTTGTTTTGTCGAGGCATTTGGCGATATTTACGACATATCTTTTTTGCGATGAACACTAAAAGCCGAATGTTGACAACGAAACTTCGCAGAACTAAATGGTATGAGACTCTCTTTCCGGAGGTGCGATCGGGGACAGCGGGGCTTGGGTTGCCGGCTGGACGCCGCGAAGCGGCGTGTACTGGTTAGGTTTTGTAATTAGCAGCCGCATACTGTCACCGCGAAGCGGCGTGAATGCATGCGGGGGGCTGTGTTAATGAGCTCCCCAGGGATACACGCGCCGTTTGAAAAAGGTGGCCCGAGCGGCATGAGCTCTCCACAGAGTGTGTATAGCCATTCCGTCCGAAGTGCACTCCGGAGTGCGTATAGCTTTACTCATCCTCAAAACCGTTCAGCGATGGCTCGTTCACCAAAAAGTGCCTGCTAGAAGTTTCTGGTTCTGTATGTCCAACCAAAAAAAAAACCTTTGAGAAAATAAGCCATTTGCCATCACTGACATAACTGACCACCTGAACTGCCTGAACGTTAAGCTTCAGAGGAAGCACAAAATTATCATCACAATTTATACCGACATTCGGGCATTTCTGGGCAAGCTGCATCCCTGGGAGTGGCAGATAGGGCAGCAAATGCTTGATCACTATCCAATGCTAAAGTCGGGGGGGCACATAGATCAAGAATCTTGCGGTATTTTTTCTGAGTCTCTCTGTAGTCTCCAAAAAGAATTTTAAGAGTGAGTTCAAGACATAAGCAGCCTCTTCAAGGACTTTCAAGTTTTCTAATTGCCCCTCTTAATGCAGACAGATCACGTCGATCCAGAGCTGTAGATAGAGCTAGAGCTACTGGCTAGCACCACTCTGAGGCAAAAGTGTTACAAGTTTCTGGATGAAGCAAGAGGCTCTACATCAACAAGCAGTGAGGATCATGTCCATGTTTGGGGGCACCTACACGTCCGAGCACTTCTTCTCCTTGCTGAAGGTGAACGAGTCAACACTCGGGTCAAGAATAACAGTGGACCTTTTGCAATCAACCATAAGGATAGGCGGCCATTTTTTTGCTTGTTGCAGCAAAGCGATGTTGGCTATCAAGTCATTATATTTAGAACTTGATGGTTTCATTTTTTGTGTTGTTCATGAAATAAGCCTACTTCGACTTCCTTGCACGAAATAAACCTATTTTATGACGCATTCTGACGTATGACGTATTTTACACGAATAAACTTCCCGGAACGTTTTTCTACCCTGAAGTCCTGGCCCTTGGGGTAGTAAATTTTGTCTATGTGGCCCACTTCCCGAGATCAGTTTGAGATCAGTGCACTAAAGGATCGGAGGTCACGCTTCAAGATGCAGACGAGAGATTATGGAAGTTTTCGCTAAAACAATAACGATAAATGACGACGAAGCGGTGGCCCTCGATCATTGAAAGTATTGAACATGAATTGTAGGACTGTTCTTAACAAGGTCACCGAGTTAGAGGGAATGTTGTTTTCCCGTGATCCAGATATTGCTATTTTAATGGAGACGTGGTTAAGGGAGAACCAGGCACGTAGCCAGGATTTCGATTCGGGGAGGGCCCGCCCGTGACAAAATGCTGTATGTGGGGGAGGGGGGAGAGGATGCCCCAGCAAAATGGAAGGTTTCGGAGGAGGGCCTGGCCCCCCCCCCCCCCTCCCCCCCCCTGGTTACGTGCCTGGTGAGAGCATATATGATGGTGAATCCTACGGGCTACAGTGTTTACGGGAAAGACCGTGAAAGTAAAGGTGGCAGAGCATGTCCTTTTTAAGAACTCTTTAAAAATACTGAGCATGCCAGATGTTTCTGATATAGAGTGTATTTTCTGCAAAGCTTACAGTGGTAATTTTAGGTACGTCATAGGAGCCTTTTACAGGCCTCCTATTTCTTCCGTTGCTTTCCTCGAGGAGTTACCTTGGTTTGCATTTCAGGCCTGGTGATCGGATTATTTTGTCAGGAGATTTTAATTTGCCAAACTTTTTCAAAGTTTGGCAAAAAAAAAAGGGCGAAAAATTACGGTCATACCTATTCAAAATAAACCTTACAGCCTTGGCCTGGATAGATTCATTGAGATTAATGCCTTTCTTAAAATAAGGATCCCAAACAACAGATCTATTCTCCAAGATGGGCCTAACAATTAAGGGTCTTATAAGCACGGAGTGTAAATTCTTTAGTAGTGCATTTAAGAGTATGTTTAACATAACCTAATTTTTTAAGGGCGCGACAAAAAGTACAGTTGACGTGCTTGTCCCATTTGAGCTTGGACGTGAAAAAAGCACCTAAATATTTGAACTCCGTAAATTCATTTTAGGAGCATCGCCCAGGAGCATCGCCCAGGAGCATCGCCCAGTAATCTGCTGGCAGCGGATCCTAATCCTTTAATTGGGAGGCATCTGACGACAATAGCAGACAGCTAAGTAGGTGCGTCGATTGACCTTGGCCCCAAGCCAGGCATAACACTCCCCTTCTCCGGTTCGTCTTTTACCACTTTCTTAACTGGCTCAACTTTCTTTCTCGTTTTGTACTGGATGTCTTCATCTTTCCTGTGCTTTTAGCAATTGGACGAGCAGATAAAAAAAAAAAAAAAGTGAATAAAAAGGTTGATAGAGTCAAAATTGAGGTTTTTTGGCGCTTGGGCATCGAAGACCAAAGTGCTTCAAAAATGAGAAGCAAGAATCGCGGGAAAGGTGTACCAAAATTTTGCCATATTTAATTAACGTAAAACTGATTTTGAAGGTGCTTTTTAAAAAACTGCACTCTTCAAAAATAAAAATACCTCGCGTATAAAGGACGGGAGGTTTAGAGCTACCAAGATTCATATGGACTGGTACACGCTTGGAAAATAAAATAAGAAGATAGGTGCGCAGTTTTCATGAAATATCCTGGAAGCCATAATTGTGAGGCAATGTTAGGGTTTCCACGCCTTGTTCACGCGTCAGTTGCTTTCCTTTTCTTAAAAAAAGTAGCTGTGTCAGCCGCATATGGTCAATCTCCATCCTACCCAGGAATACTTTTCCCAATGTTTGGTGCTGCGTCATTCGTTTCAAGATGGGTGTTACAGAACGGAGCTTTAGCAGGTATCGGATTCACATGAGTGGTTTATTTAAATGCTCTTTAGTTTGTGACTGGGATGCTATTGACGTCTATCTACGCAGATGCATGCAGCTCGGTTTGCTTCCTCGTCACTGCCCACTCTAGCACAGCTGCAAATACACCAGAAATAACTTATTTTGCTGTTTAAAGCCCATCTTCCAATGTAGCTGAGCAACGAGGGAATGGTTCTGCAAGGTCGCAAAGTTAAAACGCAAGGAGTGTACTGAGTGACGCGTTCAAATCACTAACTTTTCGTAGTTGCCTTTTGGTTAGGTGGTTTACAGACGGTACCAGCCCGAGCATTTAAATTGTAATAAAAGGATGCATTTGGGTTTTTTCCGTCCCGCCGATCTGGAAGATTTCCCTGTCACAGCATAGCCAACGTAACCGGTGTCTTCAGCTCCATGTTTGAAGAAACTTATGTGGATCTCATGAAGTCACGCAAGCGTCATAAATTTCTGTTTTTTAATGCTGAAAGAAACAACACTTACGGTATATTCTGAAAAGCTCAAATTGCAGGCTACGTATACATCTTGACAGATTTTGGGAACCGCTTTGTGTTCTGAGTGGCAGAATGAGTTTGCATAGAGGAAGCCTACCAAGTCCTAAAGAGTGTCGTGCACTAAGAAACAACCACCGTTTATCGAGCAACCGTTCATTTCATTCGGCACACAAACTAGACATGGGGAATGTTCAAAATGATCCAATGGTCAGTTGGGGGACGATGTCAAAGGACTTTGAGCGTTTTCAGTGTAATCTGACACCGCAGTCTTAGTGCTTTTACACGTGTGGAAAAGGCAAAGTTGCCATCAAAAAGTAAGCATAGAAACTTCCGTCGACATACAACAATAGATCAGAGAATGCTCTGCCACAGTCTGGTCAGCAGATAATGTAAAGCCTGAGCTGCAAGCAATGTAACTAACACAATTTTTCCATTTCTAAATAAAAAAAGCCATTACACATTTTTGCATCTTTCTTCACTAGTATGCGGGGGGGGGGGGGGGGGGGGGGGAGGAAGAGGAGGAGGAGGGGGGTGGAGTGTGAGGGGCTGGCACAAGAAGACGGCCAATGATTATAGGATGCACCTGCGGCACCTAAAGAATGTCCTCTGCCACCTTGAGATTTCAGCGTTCCCTTGTGGGCACCTGGGCGGCTCCCCAGCCCAGTTGCCCGACTATGGTGCAGAGGTGGCAAACTTTTCCGCATGGCAGCGGAGTCAAGACTGCCACACGCACGTCGCGCTCACTGCCTTGATAAGGCGCATGAAAGGCGGCGCGCGGTCAATCGCGGCCTGGACTTGAGCATTGCTGGTAATGATGTTTATGTATTGATCATCTCATCCATGTCCAATTAGATGTAGTTTCTTGTTGTTGAAACCGCTCACTCCAAGTTATTCCTCCTGGTTGGGTATGCAGCAAGGCAAACCAACCACAATGGCGCCCTAGCGTGGTATGCTATCCACTTACAGGATTTTACGGAGCTTGGTTCATTCTTTCAGTAAGCCTTTTTCCCACTCCACGTGTTTCCTACCATCGTTCTGTGGTTCCGTCCTGTCCGCGTTTGTTGTGTTGGCGCGCTTCAGACTGTTTGTTTTGTGACCACGGCAATCATTTTGTGCGCTTGTGTTGGTTTCTGGGGAACAGGGGGGGAGGC